CCCCAGCTTGAGAAATGCTGATCGTGTTCTTCCTTTTTGGTTTTCTAATTCTAAATCTTTGCATATTTTATTATAGTATTTGGTTTTATCTTTTCGAGCTGATCTTTGACATTTTCTGTTCAGCTCTTGGACCTCTTCAATTCTTCCATTTATTATTCAATGTATTACCCAGTCATAATGCAAGATTCCATGGCATGGGGAAAGGGAGGGAGGGAGGAAGGTTGCACCAGATGCTCACTTTCAGGTAGATCCTTTTGCTCAGTCACAAGTACTACAACTACACAACATGCCAGGTATGATTCATATGAGACACAGTACTTAACACCAAGAGTACATGAGTTCATGTACTAGTCTAGGTAGACACTGTGGAGAGCACAAAGCCTCCAACCTCACCAAGTGTATAGTCTAGCAAAGGAGTTAAAGATATTATACATGAGGCGGTAAGTGCCACACAGAAATATAAAGCCATAGAAGAGGACAGTGGTGGTTATGTGTTGTGGAGTTAGTTCTGACTCATAGCGACCCTGTACAGGGTTTCCGAAGCTGTAAAATCTGTACAGGAGCAGAAAGCCTCATCTTTCTCCCGTGGAACAGCTGGTAGTTTCGAACTGCTGACCCTGAGGTTAGCAGCCCAATTCATAACCAGTACACCACGTGAGCTCTTAGAAGAGGGCAGTAGTTTGCACTTTAAATAGGTTCATCAGAAAGACTAATGCAGGAGATTGAAATACAGTGATGAAACAGACGATGAGACTCCTTGGAAGAGGGATGCATAAAAGGCTAAGGCATGAATAAACTTACTACACACCAGCCACAGCAAAGCAGTGAGCTTGGTCTGAGAGAGAAGGTAAGAAGGGCCGGCAGGGACCCCATTATGTTGGGTCTGATAAACCAAGGACTTTAAAGCTCTTGGATGTGATTAGCATTTGGGAGGTTCTGAATAGGAATAAGCAAGGAGGGGGAAGAGCAGAGACAGGGGCAGAGGCAATCAGTAAGAGGCCATTGTAGTAGTCAAAGAGGAATGGAGGGCTGGCTGGCACCAAGAAAGTAGCTACATTCAGAATATATGTAGGACTCCATTTTGTGAGTCTTCATTAACTTCATCCAGGCAGCTGAGATTAAGACCCAAACTACTGGCTTTTAAACTATTATTTCCTACAACATATCATGGTGTGGAGCTGTGGGGTAATGTGCTGAACTGCAACATTGGTTTGGATCACTCAGTCGGTGGTTCAAGCCCAACAGCTGCTCCTCAGAAACCCTATACAGGGTCGCTATGAGTCGGAACCAACTCGACGGCACTTAACAACAAAACATCATAAATAAATGACAAAAAAATTCACAAAATATTTAACTTGTTACGTTGATTCAAAGGTGAAATTCTGTTCAGAATGCGGCCAGTTCAAAAATACTTGACATACAATTCAGTTGAAGTTTCTACTTGTTGAGTGAACTTATTGAGCTATTGTCCATAGTTATGAATCCAAAGTGACCTTGAATGAAGCTTTCCAGGTGATTTTTCCCCTTCTTTTTTTAATGTTATTCTTCTGCTTCTCAGAGCAGCCAAGTTGCAGAGACCCTAGAGCAAAGTATCAGAGAGAGAGAGAGAGACGCTACACCTGGTCTTAATATCTCAACAGCCACTTACCTCTGCCACCTGTTGAGGAAGTGAGGGTCAGTGCAGACACCGGCTAAGTTCAGAATAGTGCACTAAAACTCTAAGGGATATGTCTCGGATGCCCCAGATGAACTCCTTAACTTCTGTATTGGGGACTTAAAAGTATAATAGCATGTGTTCCAGACTTAAAATCTACTCAGTGAAGGCACAAAGGAGCCCCGGTAGTGTAGTAGGGTACGTGTTGCAATGCTAACCACAGGTCAACAGTTTGAATCCATCAGTTGCTCTTTGGTAGGAAGATGAAGCTTTCTGCTCCTGTAAAGATTTGCAGTCCCAGCAACCCTACACAGGGTTATTATGAGTCAGAACCAACTCGACGGCACATAGCAGCAGCAGTAATGAAAAGTGGAAATCTTTAAAACCTCTTTATAAAAACAAAATTGCATTAGGCAAATCTGCTGCACAAGACCTTTTTAAATAGTTGAAGACCAAAAATGTTAGCTTGAAGACTAAGGTGCGCCTGACCCAAGCCATGGTATTTTCTATCACCTCATATGCAGGTGAAAGCTGGACAGTGAATAAGGAAGACCGTAGAAGAATTGATGCTTTTGAGTTATGGTGTTGGAGGAGAATATTCAAAGTGCCATGGACTGCCAAAAGAAACAATAGATCCATTTTGGAAGAAGTGCAGCCAGAGTGATCCTTGGAGGCCAGGATGGCTGACTTCGTCTCTCATACTTCGACTATATTATTGTCAGGAGGGACCATTCACTGGAGAAGGGTACCATGTTTGGTAAGGTGGAGGGTCAGAGAACAAGATGAAGACCCTCAGCAAGACAGATTGGCAAGGTGGCAGCATCAATGGGCTCAAGCGTGGTAACAATTGTGAGGTTGGTTCAGGACCACGCAGTGTTTTGTTCTGTCGTATAATAGGGTCACTATGAGTCGGTACCAACTCGATAGCACCTAACAACAACAAAGAAATACTGGTACCGTAAGATAAGCACTCAACCGCAAAGTCAGTTTGAACAGCAAGGTCTGTGGTTCAAACTCACCAGCCGCTCCTCGGAAGCCCTATACAGGTTCGCTATAGGTTGGTACTAACTTAACAGCACTTAACAACAACAACAAAGAAATATTCAAGTACAGTAACACTGAAATGCACACATTTCTCACATTACCATATATAACACCATACACATGAATAACATGGAAGCGATACTTACAGTAGCACAGTAACCCCAGGGAATGTGCTTTCAGAGGTAATGCACTGGACTCTGTCCCACCAAACCCAAATGGAGGCAAGTTAAAGTTTAGTGGAAGGGAAAGAGAGGCACTGAACAGAGAGACCTAATGGTACCATGGTTAAGGGCTTGGATGCTAACAGGAAGGTTAGCAGTTCAAACCTACTCAGTGACTCCTTAGAGAGATCTGGTGGTAATCTGTCCCCATAAAGATTACAACGTTAGGGGACCCTGTTGGGCAATTCTACTCTGCAAACACAAGGTCACTTTCAGTCAAAATGAACTATGATGCACAAGAACAAAGGCTGAAACCAGCTGGGCAAGGGAGTCTGTGTAAGGGAGGAGCTGCCTTCCTGGGTACCTTTCTGGCCAATGTCTATGGATCAGGTCAAGGAATCTCACAGCTATCAAATCAATTCTAACTCATAGCAATGCTACAGGACACAGTTGAACTGCCCCCATAGGGCTTTCAAGGCTGGAAGGAGACTGCCACTGGTAGGTTCAACCTATCTGTTAACAGAAGAATCCTTAACCACCAGGCCTCCTAGGCCAAGGACTATGTCCTAAGTAACCAGGAGATTCTTATAGTCAATGCGGCTGTCCTGGATATAGCCAAAGACTGGATACAGAATCATCCCAGTAGTACTTGAGCTTGGTGCACAAGGACCACCCTGTGAGTGCTGGCACAGAACAGGTGTTTAATATTAATTAAATAAGGATTCTGTTTTCACGGGATTAATAAATAATTATTACTAGGTTTCTTATCTGTGGCAGAAACAAGGAAAAATATAAGAAGTTTAATCACTGGTTGCCCCAAAGCATTCTTTTCCAAAATAATGAGGACTCTTAAGACATTTCCTAGAAAAGACAGTTTAAAACTTCAATCTGAATCAGAAAGAAGACTATATGTTCCAAATATGCAGAGGGCAAATTTTGCAATGGTGATGACTGCCCAACATTATGTCAATATTTACTACTTAAGAATTAAGAGGCACTATAGGAGTCCTGGTATGGTGCTGTGGGCTAATGCGTCAGACTGCAAAGTCAGTGGTTCAAGCTCACAAGCTGCTCCTTGGAAACCCTATACAGGGTCGCTATGGGTCGGAATCAATTCAACAGCTCTCAACAACAACAACATAGGCTCCTAACCTCAAGGTCGGCAGTTCGAAACTACCAGCCATTCCCTGGGAGAAAGATGAGGCTTTCTACTCCCGTAAAGATTTACAGCCTCGGAAGCCCTGTACAGGGTCGCTATGAGCCGGAACAGACTCCACGGCACTTAAAAACAACATACTGACATCCAGCTACACAGTATATAAGTTGATCAAGCAAAACCAGGATCACTATTCGCAATAAAGACTTTGCATAAAACTTAATGAATTAAAAAAATGAGATTATAGAAGCAACTAAAAGCAAAAATATCTGAAAATGCTTTAATAAATGACATGATCTTCCCTTTTAATTGATTGTGGACCAAATATTAAACATCAACACCATTAGAACATAAATCGCATTGCTGTTCCTTTATCTGTTTTCAAAATTTCATTCCAAGTTTTATACTGATATAATATTAAATCTAATAAAATACAAAAGTTATCTGTGGTAAGAGTATAGATTGGGACAGATTAGAATTGTCTATATAATAAAATATATTAGGTATCATTGCTGGGTAAAAAGAAAAAGTTATCTGTGGTAAGAGTACAGATTGGGACAGATTAGAATTGTCTATATAATAAAATATATTAGGTATCATTGCTGGGTAAAAAGAAAAAACCCACAGGAAAAATAATGTTTTAAAATTTTTCTGATCATGTCTTTATTTACTTTCAGTTCATATTTAAGTACGTAAGTTCTAAAAAGTACATGTTGACACTCTCTGCTACTGGATTTTTATATCATCCAGCTCTGCCAACATTCACATCATATATCCCTGATACCAATGCAGCCACTGGATGTGAGAAAAAGAGGGAAAGGAGAGAGGAAGGCTCTCTGAGCTATTCTAGTCCATGGGGAGGGGATACCCATTACTGGAAGCTGAGTTTCAATCAGAACTTAGTCATGGAATGGTATGTCTACCACAGGCAGCTTTCCTCACATTGAAAGCGTCTCATTTCTTCTCTAGAGCTCATCCTCTCGCTCTACTTGTTATAGGACGGGGACTTCCGGAAGCTTGTGGACAAATAGAATTCAAAGATAATGGTAGAACTTTTAGAGTCCCTTAATCTAAGTGCCCCTCCTATACACTGACTTACTTTACTTTTTTCTCTCCCGTTTGTCTCCCTGGTGACAAATAAAACATTGTGCACCCAGTAAAGGAAGATTACTGAGAAAAAAATTTAAAATGTAGTCATACATGAAAGTCTTAACAGATTTAAATTTTAGTGCTCTGAAAATAGAAGTGGTTTAATCACAGGTTGCCCAAAAGCATTCTTTGTTTCTTTTCCAAGATGATGATGACTCTTCATACATTTCCTGAAAAAGAGAAGCATGACATGCATTCACAATAGAGCACTTTAATACACAGAGATACATTAGAATACATCAGGCAAGTGAATATCATAATCTAGTTACGTCTGTTCCTCTTTTAAAACTCCAATAAACATTTGTCTAAGGCACTGAGAGAAAAAAATAAATAAACATGTCTCCTACACTTAAGGATCCCAATCTAGTAAAGGAAACAGACAGACAAGCGGCTATAACTTAACAAGATGCAACACAAAACGGAATGAATGAGTTTAGTTTAAGAGTGTGTGGGGGAAGACAAAGTCCCCACTGAATAGTTTTCATCTTGTCTAGATGGGTCTGGTCAAAAGAGATGGGGATAAGATACTTATGATCCAACAGTGAGTAATCGTTATCATGACTTATTGCAACTGTCATAGTTGTAAAGGTAAAAGTTTTGTAACAAAACCTGGGAAGTAGTTAATCTTACAGTCAGGAAACAAAGGACCCTAGGACCATCAATGAAGAAGAGCACAAGTGGAATGTGGGACCGTGTCCAGAGAAGCAGTAACACCACAGATGGAGGCAGAGATGGGGACATGGAGAGAGGGAGCAGCTGAGGACTCTAGATTCATGGGAAGAGAGGGACTAAAAGACAGCGGCCAGGAGGCAGACTTGCAGAATGTGCCCTTTGGTGCTGTAAATTTTTACATATGCCTGAATGTTTAAAAAAAAGAGAGCTAAAATGAATAGAGAGAAACGCTGTTAACTGATGGTACATGGAGGGGATTATAATAATTGTAATGAAACAAAGTATATGATTCATTGAATTTAAAACTGATGATCTACCCTGTGAACTTTTCACTCAATTCACAATAAAAACTTAAAAAAACAAAACAAAAAAACTGGGAATAAATGATGGAGCATGACAGGAGGTAGTACAGGTCATCAGTTTTTAACTATTTCTTTTCTTTATAAACACATCCACTACTTAAACATTTCTAAACATGTTTTTCCAACTGCATAAGGCTGATTTGCATTAGCTGTTCATATAAGTGGCCATCAGCAGAAGGACTTACACAGCATTGAGCTGCTCTAATGAGACCTGCTTTACAAAGTACAGTCTGGGCCCTACCCATCTACCCCATTTTCTACCTTGAACACACATGATCTCAAAGTACAGGCTGGGACTAGAACCACACTTGAATTTTAAACAATTTGTGGAAAAGAAAGGAAGAACATATCACTTGTTATTCTTACTCTATAGTCAAATTCTGTTTCTGTATGGACAGAAATACAAATTCAGTTGTCCTCTGAACAATCCTTTATAGACAGAGAAAAGCAACAGACAGAAATCCAGCTAGTCCTTAAGTCGTAAAAACAAAAGTGTATCCCAATTCCTACCCTGTCCTTAACGTTACCTCTAAGGAGCTCTGGTAGCGTAGTGGTTACGAATGGGGCTGTTAACCTCAAGATTGGCAGCTCGAAACTACCAGTTGTTCCGCAGGAGAAAGATGAGGCTTTCTGCTCCCGTAAAGATTTACAGCCTCAGAAACCCTGTGTAGGGTCGCTATGGGTCAGAACCAACTTCACAGTACATAACAACAACCCTGTCCTTTATTTTCTGAGGCTACACTGTCATCTGGAGTCCTGGTGTGGTGCTGTGGGATAAAACAAGGGCAGTCTGAACCACAAAGTTTATAGTTCAAACTCACCAGCCTCTCCTTGGAAACCCTATACAACAACTCCTTCATCTAATTTCTGTCAGTTATTTACTATCTCCCAGCTCATTTTAGAATTACTCTTCCTACCTCTCCCTCCTCTGGGGCCTGCCTCATGGTCTATCAAAATTATAACACCCTTGTTCATAACAAAGCAGTCTAGACGTATATCACAATGGGTTCAAATTTCTATTTGGAAAGGTCACTACATTTTCACATGTCCTTGGGTTCAGACTCTTGTTTGCTCATCCCTACCACTGCCAACTGCAGCCAGAGTGCTCCTTGGAGGCCAAGAAGGCCAAACTTCGTCTCTCATACTTCCGACATATTGTCAGGAGGGACTAATCGCTGGAGAAGGATATCATGTTTGGTAGGGTGGAGGGTAAGAGAAAAAGAGGAAGGCCCCCAATGAGATGGATTTGCCAAGTGGCAGCATCGATAGACTCATCGTGGCAACAGTAGTGAGGTTGGCCCAGGATCAGGCAGTGTTTCGTTCTGCTGTGCATAAGGGTCGCTGTGAGTTGGTATCAACTCAATGGCACCTATCAACGACCACCATTAACTGAGCCAGCAAGCTAGTAGGAAGGCTTAACCTTGAAAAATCTTAGTCATCTGCTTTGGTCTTATGACCTACAGGTTCATTAATCCCTCAGCTCTGCTCTCTGTCACAATGATCTGGACAATCCTAGTTTTATGTGTAATCATGCAAAAGCAGAACAATATTGCTGTCAATGTTGCTACACCAGGGGAGAAAGTAGAGAACTGGGCCTTTTCATTCTAAAAATCGTTCTCTGTTTAGTCAAAAAATTTTTACCCTAATGATTGGTATTACTTATTGACAAAAAGAGCAAACTATAATTCCCTTTTATGTTTTAAAATCCACTCATTACATTCAAAACGAAACAATGGTCCCTTATTTTTTCGTAAAAAAGGAACTCTAGGAGGACTAAGTGCCTTGATTTTAACTACTGCCTACACGCTGCTATTAAGTGTTGTAGAGTCGGTTCCGACTCATAGGGACCCTGTATAGCGTTTCTGAGGAGTGGCTGGTAGGTTTGAACCACTGACCTTGTGGTTAGCAGTCTAGTGCTTATACTATTACTCCACACCAGGATCCCAACTGCCTAAATAGCCATGCATTATTTATACTCTTCAAAGAAAATGTTAAAATTCAAGAGAAATACTTTGTATATGAACCACTGGCACAGTTTAGAGTGGGAATCTTAATTCTTACCACTTGTTGAGGGTTCCTCTGTGCTATATCCTATTTGAAGCATCTTTTATGGTTAACCAATGTTGAAAAGGAGATATTATTTAAAAGTCCTATTTCATAGATACAGAAAACATGTTTCCATAAAGCCAAGGAAGAGACACAAATGCAAACTATATGTACTTTTTACTTGCCAATATTGTTGCTGTTGTTGTTAGGTGCCACTGAGTTGGTTCTGACTCATAGCCACCCTGTATAGGGTTTCCAAGGTGTGGCTGGTAGGTTTGAACTGCTGACCTTGTGGCTCAAACTGACCTTGTGGTCAAGCACATTATCCTGCAGCACCACACCAGGACTCCTTTCTTAAACAGTCCCTGAGAAAACCCATGTTCAAAAAAATTAGATATTGTTGTAACTTGCCTTTTTCCATATGGGTACCTTGGCTTTTAAAGACTCGATGGCATAGCTCACAGCTTCCAGGGATGCAGCCCTGTGGGCTGAGGATACAGCAATGATTATGCTGGCTTCTGACACGGGAACCAAACTTTAAAGAGATGAAGAAAAGATCAACTCTCAATCTACGTGTCAAAGAATCTGCTAGACACATGAAAATAAACTACAGTAAGTGCTCCTAGAACTCTGTATTCTATAGCTGATTTATTTAAAGAGCCAGTTTAATAATCCTTCCCAGTTACATTTAGTAGAAGGGATACTATTAGCCACATCTTGATGTGGCTAATATGCCAGCATCCATCCACTAACATTGTTTGATGGGTATCAAGAAGAAAAGGATCTTTTCATTGATTCAACAAACATCTGATTCAAACACACACGGGATAGTGGCAGGTGACATTTAGAAATGCACAATGCAGCATGCTGAGTGTGATGTAGAATTAAAAATATTACACTAGTAATAAATATGGAGTAAAAGGGTTAATAACATTAATTAATAATAAAACTAGTGACTATTAGTAACGTTATGTTGTTAGGTGCTGTTGAGTTTGTTCCAACTCATAGCAACCGTATGCACAACAGAACGAAACATTGGCTACACTGCTTGAACCTATGTCACCCTCACAAATTTGATACTCTTCAGCCTACTGATGCTGCCACTGTCAATCCACCTTGTTGGGAGGTCTTCCTATTTTTTGATGACCTTCCACTTCACCAAGCACGAGGTCCTTTTCCAGGGAGTGGACTGAAGTAAGAAACAACAAAATCTCACTAAGGAGAACACTCCAGCTATATTTCCTTAAACACAGAACTGTTTGTTCTTCTGACACTAATCTCTAACACCACAATTCAAATGCAGCAAATCTTCTCTGGTCTTCCTTATTCACTGTTTAACTTTTTACATGAACATGAGGCAACTGAAAATACCATGGCCTGCACCAGGTGCACCATAGTTCTCAAACTGATCTTTGCTCTTCAACAACGTTAAAGAAATAGCATGCAGCAGATGTGCTTAATGCAATATGTCACTTGAATTCGTGGCTGCTGTTTGCATGAGTGTTGATTGTGGATCCAAGTAAAATGAAGCCTCTGACAACTTCACTCTTTTTTCCATACATCTTGATGTCATTTACTGGTCCAGTTGTGAAGATTTTTTTTTTCTTTACATTGAGGTGCAATACATATTGAAGGTGTGGTCTTTGATTTTTATCAGTAAGTATTTTAAGCCCTTTTGGCTTTCAGCATTATAACATCATAGTTGTTAAAAACAGAACAACAGCTACTAAATATAATAGACACAGTCTCAATTACTGGTTTCTTCTTTAAAGCCTAGAACTCTACTCTTCTTGGCAGTGTAGCAAGCAAATGAATTTAATGACCTTCAAAGGCATTACATCAAAAAGAATCTCCAGCTGACTGTGCAATACACAGTTCTAAAAAGGCTTCCAGCACTGTAGCACACCTCTGCACAGGCCTTTAGGCTGGGGCTAGGAGTCTTTTACATTTGCACTTTGTCCCTGTTACCTTACCAGAGACAACAGAGCTCCCAATGGTACAACACAACAAGCTGCCTTTGAAGGCAATGATGAGATGGCTCTCCTGTTCTCCCGTAATAACTCACAAACCTTCCTCTTGTGATAACACAGAATTCCAGTGAAAGATTCCAGAATCAGAATTAGCACAAAGGGGAAGACAAACGATACCATACACTTAAAAGCCAAAACATACCCGAGTCGATGGAACACTGCTATGTGCTTGATTGGCCATCGCTGACGAATGTCACCACAGATTTTTCTGACTTCATTTTCTGCCATTGGCAAATATGCTTCATATTCTAAGCTAATGACTTTTTTCCCTTCAAAGTTATTCCTTGTTGTGCCTAAAAACACACACATACACACAAACATGTAATATTAGTTAAAACAAGGTTTCTTCCTACAATATATATAGAACATTAATAAAACAAAAAAAGGAATGTTTTTGAATAGGAAAACAGTGAACTAATTCCTATAGATAGTACTTGGGAATTTTCTAAAGAAAAAAATCTCAGTTAGGAAAGCAGAAGACAATGAACACACAGATGACCAAGAATTTAGCAAGTGCACTGAAACTCAGCTAACATTATGACATCTTCCTTTTCTGAGTAACAGGTAACAGTTGATACTTAAAAGGAAAACAATTATGTTATCAGGATAACCATCAAGTACATTTTTTCCCTAAATATTTGAAAAACTATGAGATCTTTCTCTTGAGAATGGCTTTTTACCTGACTTTTCTATGTCTTGTTAATCTATATAGGTTAATTTGAAGGTTACTAAAACAGGAATGAAAAACAGTTCTAACTACCACTAGTCTTGGTGTATTATTGCTCAATATGTTAAAAATCTGTGGAAAATTAATGATAGTGAACATTAACACTGAATATGAGAAACATTATGCAATTGCTATTATCTTACACAGTCAATAAATGCTGTGAAAATTACAACTCACCTACAAATAGGGAGATTGCACCACAGAGCGGAGAAGTCACCAACTGTGAGACTTCATCAACTGAAAGCTTCTCAGGAGTGAATTTTATTATATCTTTTGCTTTCTCTTCTATTTCATTCATCTTTTGCCTAGAAACAAGACATTAACAAACCTTAACACTGAAATTAGGGACAAAACACTCAACTTTTAGGCTATTTTTCAATTTATTATTTTTGTCTATATTGATGTGCATGATTTAATCTGAATGTTATTAAATTCGTTATTTATGCCTACATTGGATGTACACCACTTATTCCTATAAAAACAAGAACAAATAAAACTTTAGTAAAAACTCAATATATTTATAAATGTTACTACTAAATTAGGCATGCTATTAAAAGGAATTTTACTATTAACATGATCATTTAAAAATACAATCCATCTCATACAGAAACTCATTCCAAATTCTGCTAACCAACCAACAAACAAAACCCATGTCCGCTGCTGTTGCTCTGATTCACAGTGACCTTATAGGAGAGTGAATTACTCCATAGGGATTTCAAGGCTGTAATCTTTACAGAGGAGTCCTGGTGTGGCGAGTAGGATAAGCACTGAACTGCAGGTCGGTTTGAACTGCAAGGTCAGTTTGAACCACAAGGTCGGTGGTTCAAACTCACCAGTCACTCTTGGAAACCCTATACAAGGTCGCTATGGGTCGGAACCGACTGAATGGCACTTAACAACAACAACAACAGGTTTCTAAGGCTGTAAATTTTTATTAGAGCAAAAAGTCTCATCTGTTTCCAATGGAGCAATTTGTGGGTTTGAACTGCCAACATATTAACAGTACAGTGCTTATCCTATATGCTAGCAATGCTGCTAGGTAACATCATGTTGTATTTGTTAAGTCCCGTGGAGTTGGTTCTGAATCTCAGAGACTTTATATAGGGTTTCCAAGGTGTAGCAGGTGGGTTTGAACCACTGACTTTATAATGAGTAGTCCAGTGCTTATCCTACAATGCCAAATCAGGAGTCCCACTGACATCATATAGGATAATTACACAGATCATCAAATGGTGAATAATTACATAATACCGAGAATCATGGCCTAGCCAAGTCAATATATATTTTGATTTGGTGGGGGATGCAGGGGGGCACAATTCAATCCATAACTGAGACCTTTCAGAAGCAGATTACCAAGTCAGTCTTCCATCTAGGTGGGTTTGAACAGCCAACCTTCTAATTAGTAGTCAAGCACTTAACTATTTGTGGCATTCAGAAACTTTCAAAGAGCACTGGCTCTGTAACTGATAAGCACCAGATTGTGAACTACAAAGTTGGTGGTTCAAGCCCACCAGCCACTCCCGTAAAATTTTACAGCTTCAGAAACCCTAGACAAGGTTTCTATGAGTTGGAATCGACTCGACAGAACTTAACAACAACAAGGTCATTTGTAAATTTTATAACTTCCCTGAATTTCTGTTTTCCCATCTGTAAAATGGGTATATTAATATTCCAGAGCCCAGCACTGTGCCTGACACATAAGGCCTCAATAAATCATGTCAATGAATACATCAAACCAACCTTAAATCAAATAATTTACGATAGGGTTGATACAGAGATGGTGGCAAGTGTCCAGGAGTCTGTCTGTACCAATAAAGAGTGGTTGCACCAATAGAGTTGGTACACAGACTTAATAGAATACAGTAACAGCAAACCAGTTATAAGTTATCATTCTGCTGCACAGGTCTGGTTAAGAAAAACAAATTCCACATACCCAAGTGGCTCAATGGTACTACCCTCCACTGATGGGGGGGATAATGGCAATTTCGTCTCCAGATTGAAGCAGGAGGAGTTGATCTCCAAGCTCGACATATTCTTGACGAACAGCAAATATCACTTGATTTCTGACATCAGCCAGTCTGAAGGGAAAAAAGTATATTCTGAAGTATCACTACTATGATATAAAATCTCTTCAACTGAAGTTAAGGATATTAAATAAATTCTTCTCTGTGAATATCATCTGCAAACTTGTTAAATTAACTTCTCATAATCTATAGTGAAAGGACATATCCATAAATCATATGTTAAATTGCTAGTGATATTTCACTGGATGATGTGTGACCTGCAGGTAAAAGGTTAGAGATAAAGGAGAAAGGAGGCCCTGACATTCTAACTGATTATCAAGGCAATTTATGTGCAACTTAAAAAGAGAGGAACTTGAGAAGCGGTATTTTGCTTTTGAGCATGCATTGTGGAATTTTTTTCACAAAGACCATGTACTTACAGGTTAAACATCTATACGGATTTAAATGACATTGCTAATACTCTAAACACCTCCAAAGAGTGACTTTTTATACTTTTCCCAGAGCTCCTGAGGCAGGAACGACAGCATTAAAATGATTGTTTTTTAAGAATCAGAAAAAAAAAAATCAAATATTACAAAAATTTAAATTCAACAGCATCTATAGTTTTTCTTTGTGTGTGTGTGTGTGTGTGTGTGCTTTAAAGGAAGAAATTTCTATTGTGAATTCTCTGTACAAGAGGCAACCCCCACAAAAATTTAAACAAACAATTTCATTTGCTATTATACTAACACTGACTCAACCTTTTCAGAATTATGTAGATTATAAAAGTAGAATGTAATCATGTCCCTCTGGGAGCATCCCAGTTCACAGAATTTTTTAGTAAAATAATTTTAGTCTTCTTTAATGAACTGTACATTGTAAACTTTCAGTTTTAGCTCAGAACAATGCAACTAATAACCCTTTTGACACTAGGAATGAAAATCAAAATCAACCTCTTTTTCTCTTTGGTAATTTACATTTTTAAAAAATATTTTAAAGTGTCAATCAAATGAATTTTATAAGTTTTAACTACCCAGGATGTCGACTTTCTATTTCCTTCCACAGCTGCAATGCTTTTATCTGTTGTGGCACGGAAATGGTTTCTGAACGAACGCCTGTGATTTCAGCACTTTTTGCAAAATACAGCACTTCAACCTGAAAGGAGAAAGCAAGAAAATGCTTTCATAGTAGCAACTCATCAACCTTTTCTGACTGCTTCCACTAAGAAGATTTTTTTTGCTTTCCAAATGTATTATTGAAACCAAATAAAAATTTTATGCTAATAGAACTAACCCATTAAATATTTCAGTGTTATCTGTTGTGCTTGATGAGTAGATTCCAACTCATGGCGACCCTACAGGCACAGAACTGCTCCACAGGGTTTCCAAGGCTGTCATCTTTACAAAAGCTGCCTGGCTCTTTCTCGGAGAGAACTTGGAAACCTTTTAGTTGGCTGAGGAGCGCTAAGACACTACGTCACCAGGACTCCTTCATAATATTGTAGCGTCTTTCCAAATTTTCAGCTTTGCAAAATTTAAAATAGAAAACATTTAAGTCAAGAGATAAATTGCAAATAAAATAAATGACCAAAGATTTGAAAATATTTGTCTTACATGGTTGCGAAATGACCTTTGATCCCAGTTTACATTACATTGGTCCCTGCTGTCAGGGATTAAGTTATGCAATATTTGAAACCTGTTAAGTATAAAACCAAGTGGGATTGAAATACAGGATAAACTGGTAATTCCTAGAACAAACCTAAGCAATTAACTTGTAAACTAAGAGATTTGACAAAGAGCAAATTACTATCTACGAAATAATTGTTGTTGTTAAGTGTTGTCAAGTAGGTTCCGACGCATAGAGACCCCGTATAGGGTTGCCAAGGGGCGGCTGGTGGGTCTGAACTTAAAGTACTAACACAGCGCCACACTAAGATACCACGAAATGAGTGTTGTTAAGTGTCATCGAGTCGGTTCCGACCCATAGCGACTCTGTATAGGGTTTCTGAAGAGTGGCCGGTGGGTTTGAACTGCAGACCTTATGGTTCAAACCGACCTTGTCATCCAGCGCATTTTCCTGCAGCGCCACACCAGCAGTCCTAGGTTTGCAAATGCATTCAAGAATGCGTATGTGTCTCATAAGGATTCATAGGAATCTTTAATTTAGCGCTTTTTTCATTAAAAATGTAACTTCATTAAAATGAACAAACTGAGAAATACGGGGCCAAAAAGGTCGAGGGTGCCTTTAAAAATGAGCCGGTCTCCGCCGCCGAGACTTCCCGAAATGGACTTAACCTTTCCAGGGAAGGCAGAAGCAAAGTTCCCAGCATTTCACGGAGAAGATCGCAGCCCAGGCCAGGGAGCCGGAGACAGGGACCTGATGCGACTGAACTAGCAGCCAGGTTGCCCTCATACTCCCCAAGCTTACCTGGCATCGGGAAACCATTCCGCCGGGAAGCCCCGGCCCGCAATCCGGGGGAGTGTAATAGTGCTCCACCCCAGCGCGCAGGCGCACCTCACGGCTCCTTCCGCCCGCACGGAGCATGTGTGGAGTTAGCTCCGCCCCTACGGTTTGCTCACTGTCTTCCCGCTCCGAGAAAAACGTCATTTTCATTTGCAGTGGGATGTTACTACAACAGTGAACTACAGTTGTCACTGAATGGAAAATATCTGGTTATGCATGTCTTCTGTCTGGGAGGGAGGTGTAGGAGAGCAGACGCCCGACTCACCTGGTCACTTGCCAGGTGCTTAAGCTAGGACTCCAGACTGAAGTGGTGCAATTGGTAAGCACTGGGCTAACCAAGTAGTGGCTCCGCTGTGGACCCACAATTGCAAACTAGAAACCCAATGGGGCAGTTCTGCTTTACCACATGGGCTTGGTTGTTGTTGTTGTTGTTGTTGTTATGTGCCGTGGAGTCGGTACCGACTCATAGCGACCCTGTACAGGGTTTCCAAAGCTGGAAATCTTTACTGGAGCAGAAAGCCTCATCTTTCTCCCGCGGAACAGCTGATATCATGGGGTTGGTAAGAGTAGGAATCAGCTCCAGTAGCATCCCAAAACCAGACTAAAGAGTTCGGCTTTTCCACACTCACCTTTAGGCGTCCCTTTTAATCTTCCACACTGTCTGGACTCCTGGTGTGGTTCTGCAGGCTAATGCGCTGGACTGCGAAGTTGGTTTAAACCACAAGGTCGGCGGTTCAAGCTCACCAGTCACTATTTGGAAACCCAGTACAGGGTCGCTATGGGTCTGAACCGACTCAACTGCAATTAACAACACCGTCTGGTGGTGTGGAGGCCTGTGGCTTGGTGTGGTGCCATAGGATAAGCACTCGACTGCAAGGATAAGTACTTGACAAGGTTGCTATAAGTTGGTACCGACTCAATGACAACAACAACATCTGGTGGTGTATTAAGGGACCCTGGCAGCGTAGTGAATTATGAACTGGACTGCTAGCCGCAAGGTCTGCAGTTCAAATGTACCAGTCGCTCTGAGGGAGAAAAATGAGGCTTTCTGATCCAGTAAGGATTTACAGCCTCAGAAACCCTGTACAGGGTCACTACGAGTCAAAGCAACTGCATGGCACACAACTACCACCCCCATCAGGTATATTGTTGTTTAATGGCGTCAAGTAGCTTATGACCCTTAAGGACCTTGTATAGGGTTTCTGTGGAGTGGCTGGCGGATTTGAAACACCGACCTTGTGGTCCAGTGCTTTTTCTACAGGCCACTCCAGGACTCCATCTGGTATATTGTTAAGTGCTGTCGAGTCAGTTCTGACTCGGAGCTACCCTGTAAAGGGTTTCCGAAGATCGGCTGGTGAGTTTGAACCTCTAACCTTGCGGTTCAAACAGACCTTGTGGTCCAATGCATTATCCTGCAGCGGTACATCACAGCATTTACCTAAACAGAGCATTCAGCTGTACCAGGTTTACATTTTCCTTGTTATTGGTGTCTGGTGATTTGCTCGTATACAAGGGGACTTTAAGAAGTTTGTGGAGGAAATGGAATTAAAAGATTAAAAAAAAAGCGTAAACTGCATCAAGGTTAAGAAACTTTTGTATGTGATGATAAGAGGCAGCCATTTAGTCCATCCCTAAAGAACTGAGGGTCCTAGGAATTTTACCACCTCACTGAAGTCTCCTTTTTACATTTTTAATTGAAGAAACATGAGACCTTTAAAGACTTTTTTACGATTAGTTGTTGTTAGGTGCCCTTCAGTAATTTCTGACTCATAGTGACCCTAACTATTCACAACAGAATGAACACTGCCTGGTCTTGGTCTTGCACCATCCTCACAACTATCTTAATGTTGGAGCCCATTGTTGCTACTACTATGCCAGTCCATCTCACTGGGGACCTTCCTCTTATTTGCTGGCCCTCCACTTTTCCAAGCATGATGTACTTCTCCAAAGACTGGAACCTCCTGGCTACTTGTACAAAATACCAACATTCTGGCTGTACTTCTAAGACAGATTGGTTTAATCTTCCAGCAGCCCATGATACTTTCAATATTCTTCTCCAACACCATAATTCAAATGCATTGATTCTTCTCTGATATTCTTTATACATTGCCCAACTTTAACATTCACATGAGGCTTCTGAAAATACCACAGCTTGGAACAGGTGCACCTTAGTCCTCAAAATGACATAATTGATTTGCCCAATACAATCTATCCTTTGAGTCTTGAATGTGGATCCAAGCAAAATAAAGTATTTGACAACTTCAATTTTTTATCCTTTCATCATGTTGTTATTTATTGATCCAGTTGTGAGGATTTTTTTTTTTTTTTTACATTGAAGTACAATCTATAGTGAAGGCTGTGATATATGATCTTCTTCAGTATTTCAAGTTCTCTTTCCTTCCATCAAATAAGGTTGTGTCATTTGCTTAGAGCATGCTCCTCCAATCCTGATACCTTGTTCTTCTTCATATAGTCTGGCTTTTCAGATAAGTTGCTCAGCATAGAGACTGAATAAGTATGGCTAAAGGTGGTCCATACCTTTCCTAATAATAAAACACACACTAT